CGCAGTTTCCAAGGGACAACTGCTTAAGGTCGGCCACACATGACTCTTTAGTGAGTAATTTACGTGTTAGCTCCGTACTTGTTGAGACCTTACCTCTGGAGACGGATATCCGTGGGATAAGGCGAGGTATGCATTTTTAGGGTCGAACGTTTCTAACCCCACCCCTTCTTTTGGGAAGGCAGCACCTTACTGCTGTCACACCTCTGTATAGTCATCAGTACGACTTCGTTTTCGCACCTTGGGTTTGCTGCTTTTAGTCTTACCGTTCTTCAACCGACCTGTCTGGTATGGCAGGACCTTGAGAAACGATTTTTCCAGCCAGTATAGCTCGATTGATTCATCACGATAGGCAAGCTCGATCATCACGTCAAGGTAGCAACTGTTTTTATGAGTCCGGCGTTCGTCTTGCTATGCTTAGAGGTATAGCAACTTGGATCGATGCATATATGTACCTGGTCCTACGTTGTAATCGACTGAAAATAGTTAGTTTGCACATTAATTAGACAGTATTTAAAACTATTATTTTGCTTATTTTTTAAGTGTATAAATCTATGGATAATTAGAAGCAAAAAACAATACTGCTCTGATTTTTCAGTGGTAAAGGGATGAAATAAGAAGTCCTAAAGAAATTGTAATTACTCATAAATCATCAATGTTGATGAACTTATCTATTTAATTAGTAAGATATATATATGTATTTGATTAACAGGCACTTTTGAATTACTAGTCTATGCTGATCGAAATGCAAATGTTCCTACTTCTTGGGAGGAAACTGGTCCACAATTCATTGTTAACTCTACAGAAATCAAATTACGCTCAATCTCTACAACATTACATAGAGTTGATCATACAGTCTCATATAAACGTTCAATTTGATAGACATGTTTTGTTTTGTTATTGTTCTAACTGGAGAAATCTGAGATTATTATTATGATTATTACTATTTTTATAAAAGTAAATATACTTTTTCAAGAAAAAGTTTGTTAACCTTTTTGTCATTTTAGATGAATGTTGTAATGTATGGTAAAATATGTTCAGGGATTGAGATTCATTTGTGTCTTTATTCCATACATTTATTTGATGTCATAGTTTATTTATTAGAATATTATGTCAATAGGTCAACTTCAGTTGTCATTCATGTTTATTTCATATATGTGTACATATGTTAATCAGTGATTTAACCAGTTACTTTGTTGACTAGTTTTTATCAATTTTTGTTAGATGAAAAGAGGGGGGGGAATTAATTCATAACGAATCGGATATAATCTGTTCGCTGAATAAAGCACTACGGAATTCGGGAGAAACTCAGTTCTTACGTCGTTTAGTTGATTTTCTTTAGTGATATAATTCTTAATAAAGTTAGTTGGAAGTTCAAGTACTAACAAATGAGCCAAAAGACTCCATGGTGTAACAATGCAAGTTAAGTGAATAAAAGTAAAATTAGATCGTAATGATAGTGAAAAAAAATTAGTAGAATAAAAGAATTAAGTACAAAACCTTAATTTCTTACAATCAAAAAACAAAGGTAACTCTAATCTGACTTTTGATAAATATTCTAGACAAGCTTTTCAATGTCTGTTCCATGTGTGAAAAGACTGTAGACATTTCAATATTTTATGATGTATTGTTCAACATTTAAGTCTTATTTACTCAAAAACTTCTCCATTTTCATATGCTTGTTTTCTTTTAAATAGTAGTGAGTAGATCTTCGTTCATATTGCTTGTACCTCAACATGTGTAACAGCATAGCTCATCGTATTCGTATGCTCTGACGGAAAAAGTAATTATTAGTTGTAGTGAAAATACTCCGTATCTAGAGAGCATAAGGTCGAAGATAAGACAAAGGCATTTTACATGACCCTGAGAGAAAATGGATATCCGAAGCAATCTATAAATAAAAACAGCCAATAAAAGACAGCATAGAGGATGCCTAACAGTGGATAAAAAGCCTTTATATATACGCTTAAAATTCAGAGGCGATGCACCTAGTCAAATGCTAAGACTGAAGTTACGCAGATCAATCCAAAGAACCTTTAATGCAGGTAGATTACAATTAATGTTTTCCACAAGTCCAAGGAAAACTCTGAGGTTGAAAGATCAATTGTCTGGACTAGTTACTTCTTTCTGTATCTATAAATTCAAATGCTCCTGTGGAGCAAGTCATATTGGCAGATGTTCTAGGAATTTGTATATTCGGTCTCGTGAGCACCTCCCATTGTGGTTAGGCAAAGGTGTAATTAACAGCTCCATTTAATTCAGATGGGACATACAGTCAAAATGGAGCAATATACCGTGTTAACAACAGTCTACCTAATTCCATCAGACTGAGAATCATGCAAACGGTTGAAGCAATTGCTATTCAGATAAAAAAGTAAGAGTTTTGCATCCAAAAGAAAGATGTTCAGCCGCTCCTTTTTTACCCTGGCCAACTAGTTAATAATCAATTTTATGATATGGTGACGTAATTTGATTAATGTTCATCCTAAACTTATCCCATCATTGTCATTATTATTATTATTACTACTACACTTGATAACCTTTTCGAGAAATTTATTCAGCATGCAATCTTATCTACCATATCTGACCTAATTCATATTATTCTACATATTACGTAATTTCTAAATTGTAATTACATTATTCTCTCCCTCTTACCCCATATTGATCATATTTATTTTGATCGTTCATCTCACAATTTGATTTCACTTATAAACTGATTCAAGTTAACAACCTTATATTAATCAACCCCAATATTAACAATTTGATTTGATTTTAAATGATATGATGATCTAGATTTATGATTGTAGAACCTGATTAGAAATTCATTGAAAAGAATATTCTTCGTTCATAAGAATTGTGTTATGCGATTAAAATTGTTTTAATAAAGTCACAAAACTTAGGGCCTAATGATAATGCTTCTAACTCATTCTTATCTAGCATAATACTAGAAAAATTGTGTGCATACTGATCTAGATTAGATGGAAATTTCATTTCCGGAATGTTTGTCTAGATTTTTTCTTGAGTTTCATCAAGAATGTTTATTCGAGCGCTACTGGCCGAGTCAGAGCTAATAGTGAACTTTCATCATAGCTGACAACTTCTAGTGGTGTTCTTCAGGGTTGCCCACTTCCATTTTCATCTAATCTTGTCATATACATTCTTTTAGAGATAACAATTGTTGTTTAGGCTCCCGGGGATCTTCTCTATTACTACTGGTACTATCACTACTTTTACTACCACGGGATTTATGATATGGTGAGGCAACCTGAACCATCGTACATATGTGCCAGGTCCTATGTTGCTTATGACTGACTGACTACAGTACTTGGTATCGTGTACATATATTATATGATAAAAATAGCTTACGAAATGTATGGATTCATATTTGCTATCAGTTATATTTCAAATATATTGGATACCGTTATGCAGTATCCTTAACAAAAAGATTAGCTGAAAGTAAATTGGATTCCATACTTTAAAGGCACTGATCATATCGAAATTCGTCATAAAATAAAGATTACCATACATACTGTAGCCCAATAATTATTGCGTTTCTCGTCTGTTCTTTAGACTTGTCATTGATCAGGGAATCGTGACCATTTCTAAGTGTATTACCATTTGTAATCCGTATTCAGAAACAAATGTATTGAGTTAAAGAAAAGAACAACCTTACACCTTAGCTCAGCCAAAGACAATCTCCAAACGTCTGTACAAATTGCAAATAAAAACTAGACAGTTCGGTGCTGAAAAACAAGTTAATAAGTGAATAAGATTTCGGTTTTTGTAATAGGAGTGGATTACTAGAAGTTTTAGCGAGAACAACGACACATTACACGAATTTTAGTATATGGTTATTTGTAGAGATTGCAGAATTTTCATAGTTTAATTCAAGAACTGATCTCAATTTGAAAACCTGGGAGCAACGGATAGCCATTCCATCCTAGTGTATGACTTCTCATTCGGGACCCTCACGGATGTGTACTGTTGAGGAGTCTCATACTAGGACGAACCGGCCGTCCTATACCTCCAGGTTTTTATTGTTGGTCTAATTTTGATCAATTCATGACTTCAATGTGATCCATTTCTACTATTATTGTAAACAATGTCCATGACTAGTTTAAAGAAGTCATTCGAGATAATTAACAAACAGCCGTCCAGTGCTTTCAGGTTTTTAATGGTGGTCTAACATTGATTGATTCATGATCTCAATCAAAATTTCTATAGATTAAGAGCAAAATCAGTTTCTTGATAACATTGTAGAGTGTGGCAATTGGCAGCGCGTGCTTGAATCTAGTTTTTAAAATCCCAGACATATATCTAACAGTCGGCCTACCGTGGCGAGCTGGTGGACTTATATTAGTCTTACCACATCAGCAAGTCCAGTTGAAAGGTGCTAAGACTAAAAGCACCAATTTTGAAGCTAGATGGCAAAGTTTTACTGCTGATTGTACTGGAGTGTGACTCCAGCAAGGTATTTCCGTCGGACAATTAGAATATACGGCGATGCTGCATCCCCACAATGGAAGGAAGGTGGGTTCTATGCGAAATATACCTCACCTTGTCCCACGGATTTCTACTGCCGGAGATAAAGCCCTAAGAGTGTAGAGCTTACACACTAAGAACTATCCATGAAAGAGCTATATGTGAACCGCGTTCAGTAGTTTTCTCTTAAGCCATGTAGCTACACTCCTAGGTCACAAAGACCACCCTTTAATCTAGTTCCTTTTTTAGGTTCCTCAATAATATCCTTACACAGTATGGATAGAGTGGAACATCACACATTTACAAATAAAGTTGAGAATCATTGAAAAATCATAGAAGTTCCAATTAATGAATCTGCTATCATTAATCATGTAGGATCTGTCATGCATATGTGTGTATCGGTTCAAGTTATTTATAGAAAAAGACAAATAAATGATATGTCCATAACACTGCAATCTACTCTACAGTCAGCATACAACATTCATTCAACTGAATAAAAATGAAAACAAACCATATTTCTTGTGATATGTATTTATATTTGAATTCATTGTATATAATGATTACCTTTAATTTAATATGAATGATATTATACAATTAGTTACAGATATTATGTAAATCTCTCTAAATAATCACAACAATTTATTGATTAGACCATAAGTAGGTTTGTACTTCAAACCAGATCCCACTGGAGGAAGAAGCGCTGACAATAGATAGGACACATATTGAGGAAAGCACCCAACTGTGTTACAAGGCAAGCTCTCACATGTAATCCTCAAAGTCAAAGGAGAACAGGAGGAAGAACCAAAGAACATATTACACCGAGAAATAGGAAGGCGTATAACAGAGTGTGGATTGGAGAATACTGGGTGGTGGCTTATACTCCATTGGGAATAACAGGTATAAGTAAGTAAAAAAAGAAAAGTAAAGTTTATACTTTAGAATTATGGATATATTTATGTTTTCCTTGTATAATTAATCTATTTCCATATAAACTTTCAATATCATTTTCACTATTTAATGAATGAACTTCATCTAATAATTTAAATATAGTAGAAATAGATCCTTTCCCTGTTATTATTGATTCAACATCATCAGTCATATGATACTGATGTTGTTGCTGTTTCTGATCATGATCATTATCTAAATGAGTATTCTTTAGATTATCTTTTATCATCGTAATAGATTCATTATCATTATTATTATTTAACGGTTTCTTCATATTTTTTACATTATCTATCATATTTAAATGATTGATCATTGAATTTTGATTATTGTTTAAATCATCATTATTATTGATTGATTGTTGTTGATATTGATTTAATTGACGTAATTTCGATTGAAGTCTATTGCTTAATTCAATTAATGATTGTTTTTCTATAGATAATCGATAAATTTGTTTAATTGCTTTAGATAATTTATAATCATTATCATTTATGATTGATAATTGAGCAAATTGTTTCGCTTGTTCTGACATTATGTTTATTGTTTGTTTTAATTGTATATTTTCATTTTCTAATTGATTACAATGATTTGTAATAGAATTTAATTGTTCAATAAGATGATCATGTTGATTATTTTGATGTAAATAAAGATTAGGTTTTATTAATAATGCTTGTTTTAAATCATCATTAAGTTGTTTTATTTGTATTTGTAACATTTGTATATTATATTGAGCATGTTGATATTTGATTTTTTCTTCATTCCATAATTTGTGAATATTTTCAATTTGTTGTTTTAATTGATTCAATGATTCAATTAAATGTTGTTTATCTATTTGAAGTGAATTCACTTGTTCTTCATAATTAGTAGTGATAGTGAGTATTTTTTCATCAGAATGTTGTAATGTTAATCTATAATTTTAAATAAAAGATATTATCAGAAAGGGTTTTATGGAGATTTTAGAAAGTTCACAGATTGAAATTATGAGTCAATTGAAGCTAGACCACCATGGAAAACCTGGAAGCAGTGGATGGCCGTTTCGTCCTAATATGGGACTCCTCAGTGGCAGTGCACATTCACGATCCCGTACCCCGCGAAGTTAGACATTAACACCATTCGATACCGGCTCAGTGGTCTAGTTGGTTAAGCGCCCGCGCGTGAGACTGATAGGTCCTGGGTTCGAATGTCTCGGGAGGCGGGATCGTGGATGCACACTGTTGAGCAGTCCCATACTAGGATGAAGCCGCTGTCCAGTGCTTCCACGTTTTCCATGGTGGTATAGCTTTAATTGACTCACGAAGTCACCGACTAAATTTTTAGATTGGTGATTTTCAGCCCGATGGTATAAAAATCAAATTTCTAATCCTCATCGTACAATAAAAAATCTTCACAGCAAATATTCAGGATGCATTATTCACAAAACAAAACAAATATCATGAGGTGACACCAAGATAAGAATAAAGAAAACATTCACTAAAAATCCTGAAACACACCTACAACCTATCATAAACTATTGAACACTACCTTGATTGCATGTTTTTCGTTGGGAGATAAAGATAGAGTAAATATAGAAACATATCGAGGTCCAATCACAAACGTAAAACTTTTAAAAAAAACCCAACTAGTTTCATGTAGTCCATTTATTTAATGTAATCAACTGTGGCCAGTGATGAGAAACATCTTCAAATCTGTAAAATTCAATTACATCCAGACCGAACCCGTAATGTTTATCATGATGAACATGTAGTGTCTAGTCTTATGTCACGCCGATATGGGTTATTTTAGCTTTTGCACTGACCAATTACTTTATTACTCTTGAGTCACATTTTGACCTTGTCAGTTATTTGCCTATAGCCTTGACTATTTCTATTTGAGCTTCTGTATTACTTATCGTATTGATCACATGTCTTTAACTTATTTTTGTCTGGTTATAAATACCGAATCACTCTTTATCAAGACGAGTTGGTATGCTTACCTTCTCCGGTTCGCTTTCCTGCTTCTTGTGTTAATATCTGTCTGAGTATTAGAGTATTAAAGAAAAACGGTAAATTAGTTGATAAGGTTGTAAATCTTCATCGACTGAGATGGTTGGGCCACGTATTACGGATGTTTAAACACCGATTACCATTACGCACAATGCTGACTAGTGTTGGACACGGTTGGAAGAAAGTTAGTGGTGGCCAAACCAAACGTGGCATCGGTCCTTGAAGTCCCTAATTCCTAGTCTTAGCCATATTGATAGATGCAGACCACTTGGTTGGGGTCCGCGTGACTATCGTAACCAATGGCTGGAGACTCCGTGTGATATGGCTTAGGATCGATCACAATGTTGTCGGTGTATACACACTCTCTCTCTTGCGTTAAACCATGAGATTAAAATTGCTTTATATCTTTCTTTCTACGAACTAAATCTTTCTTTCTGTACTATGTCCTTATACACCATTGAACTAACTGCTTCTGTGAATTTGGTGTTCATCTTGTCGTTCTAATAAGGTGTGGCAACGTGGACCGATGCATATACTGCCTGATCCTACGTTGTAACTGACTGACAGGGGAACTTAAAAAGCTTTACGTATAAATTTACATAAATGAAGAACGGAGTTTTCCTGCAGAGTTTTGTTCGTTACATAAAAAGTGAATTCAAGTAGTCTCCAACTTGTAAAGAACATAAAGACATTGAATCTATGACTTATGTTTGGGTTCTCCATGGCTATCATGTACATGTGTAACTTGAAGTCTGTTTATATATATATATATATATATATATATATATATATATATATATAATTCTGATTATCCCAGAATGTCGTGTGTACTCTAGGCAAATGTAGTGCTTATAAACTTACTTCAGTTTATCAATTTCTTCTGTAAGCTCAGCTTTTTGTGACGTTGCTAGTTCTTCGTTTTGAGCTTTAGTTGATTCAAGTAACACCTGCTTCAATTTGGATTCATTTAACCGCGTGTGCAAATCTTGAATTTCAAGCCTTTGTGATTCAATTGTTTTATTCATTTCGTTTAATGTACAGTTTAAATTGCATATTTCTTCCTCCTTAGATGATAATTCTTTTATATAATCATGTTTAGTTTTATTAGCTAGTTCAACAGACTCATTTGCAAGATGGATACGTAATTCTAGGTCAAAGATTTTTTGTGCAGTATCAGCTCTGAGTCTTTCTTTCTCTTTCACTGCGTCGTCGATTGCAGTCTGCAGTTCAACAGCGGCATGAAGTCTTTCCTTCTCAAGTTCTGACTGAAGACGATTAATATTGTTTTGCAATTTGATGCGTTCTTCAGTTTCAGTTTTTCTTAATACCTCAATTATTGCATTGTGTTTTTCAAGTAGCTTTTGTTCTCGTTTGACAGTTTCGTGGAGAGATTCTTCAATGTCCTCTCTTAATTTTGCTTCCGATGATTTCACCTGTGCAAGCTCTGATTGTGTACGATCTAAGGAAACTTTGATTTCACTAATTAGAATATCCCTCGAATGAATATTCTGTAGGAAAAACAAACAACAGTTAATTATTGATTAAAAGAACCCTACGTTACTTATTGACTCGTGAAAACTTATTGTATAGACAGCGTGATTCGATATGGAAAGAAAAGTAGATAAAATATGATGATAATAATATTTGACGCTTTTGTATATGTTTGGATGATCAGAACGGCGATAGTTACCTTTTGATAATCGTTGTGCCAGATCACATGTTAACTGAAGTTAATAATCTGAATTATTGGTCTCATACTCTGGTTTAGTTGTAACACACTCGCAATGTGACTAGAAAGTTTTGAATACGGTACATCTCAAAGTTGTGAGTGAATATTGTTGAAGAGTTCTACACTAAAAAGAAACGGTTGATAACTAGCTTTTTGTGCGAGACTACAGTTTATGGATGAACCAGTCAGATTTACGACAACAGGTCTTGGATTTCGGCGCGAAACTTTTCATCCATTTGAATAAATAGCGTTTTTGCATTTTAGCTTATGTCAGTTCATGATGAAAATCCAAAGTCTATTTCCTAACCCTAAACATCAACTGTAAATCATAATTCTAATTCTTCACACGGTTTAACAACACTCATGTAATCCTAGTTAGTAGGTGGTCATTCTCAAAGTCACTTTAGCGTCGCCGTAAGATCGTCCACAGATTAGTCTCGCCGCTTTTCGTCTACAATCATATCCTATCTGTTTATTTTTAAAAACAGTTGTTTAGTGTGATGAAAAACTTCTGATATCTTAACCAGTACTGACTGGGACGTCTGAAATATGTCGCCCTTAAATGCCCTGGTACGGTCGAGGATGGGGTCAGCTCTCACATGGTCACACGTATACAGTCATTGCCAGGGAAGTCCTACTCACTGCATTTTCCTGGCCGAGGTGTTATTCATGAAACTGAGAGGACACAAAAAGAATGTCCATCACTTTAACCATGTTGGTAGATACGGATGGTCCACCTAGGGAGGTTAAAAACCCTGATTCCAAACCAATGGTGCACATGGGCTCCAGGATCTTGAGGGAACAAATGGCGCCCGAACCTATTGTTGGTCACCGGCTGCTATGGGACTGCACTTACTGATGTTCCTCCACTGCCTTGTGGATTAAACCTTCAGATCAAAGGCTCGGGGTGTGGCCTCTAAGAAAACCACCTGCTTCGGTTTTGGCGCCCGGGAAGTATTACAGCCCCCAAACAAATTAATGACTGCTACGGGCCTCATTGTTGTTGTGTGCGTATATGTGTTTGGTGTTTCCTTATACCAACGTTTATGTGTTCAAATAAATAAAGTTTCTAATATATCATGACTTTATTACTAACATTCTGCCTAATGGTCAATAATTTTATAATTGTTAAATTTAACCTTAGTGATAACACTTACATCTCTTAATCCTCCAAAAAGAGAGCCTTCAAATGAAAGAAACTGTCTATGTTCATTGGGAAGAAGGTATTAAATGCACGTCAAATATTTTTGGATTTTCTACTGGTCAATCTAATAGACTCTTTATTCACTTAAATATCTGTCACAACCATCGTCTGTATGATTTAGATTGATGGCAATTTTTAGGAAGGAAAACAACCCTACGAAAATACAAAGAATATAGTTATTCGTATTGATAAATATATTCCTGTTTCACAGGAAAATGCTAGTGGACAGTCTTTTAACGATAGTATGAAGTAAAATATATATTTATCTCAGCGTCGACTTTTTAGTTAAAGCCGTCCACTTGTTTTATTATAGTCAACATAAAAATAAAGAGTATTCACGTTAATTCACTTCGAGGAGCATGTATGGAATGTTTTGAATAAAATGCAAAATGCCTTTGTTCGTCGAACACTAATAACAACTTAGCAGTGTTGGTAATCAGGTTTGGTACACTCAGTGTCATTTTTGAATCTTCATCTTTTGTAACACATGTCGTTCTCCACAGCAAGCACAGTCAGTTAGGCTTGACCCCTACACTTATCTACTGTTAACTTCCTCAGTTTGTGATTCTCAAATACAAAGATGTAAATGTGAAGCCCATATCAGCGTGGAGAAAAAACAGCACGCTAAAGGGGACATAGAATACATAAAACGAGGGCGTTAGCAGTTATAAATAGCTCAGTACAGTCAGAATGTATATAAGTTGGATTGTATTTCGTTGGAAAACAGAAAAGCTTGGCAAAATAGAAGGCCTAAGACAATCTGACAGTGATAGAGGTCCTGTTGAAAATAACAGGATCAGTAAACAAATAAAAGATTAAACCATGAAATTTATCAGGATTGTTACGCTACGTATACTTCATGACATTTAAACTATTTTCAGATTTGTGAAAATAACCTCTCATAACTAATTCTTAGAAAAGTTAGTTATGGAAGCATCGCGCCATCGATTAAGTTTTTGCAAGACGAGAGTAGGAGGCTTGCTTATAAACGGCGAGACTATAATTTATGGACGACCTTTGAGCGACGCTGAAGTGACCAACTACTAATTAGGACTAAATGAGGGTTATAAAGCAGTTAGAATTCTCATTTACAGTTGATGGTTAGGGTTAGAAATTAGATTTAAGGTTTTCACCACGAACTGAAATCAACTATAATGCCGAAACTCTATTTAGAAAAACGTACGGATAAATTCCGCACCCAACCCCGTGACTTTTTATCTTATATCTGATTGTTTCGTCCATAAATTGTAGTCTCGCTAAAGTCAGATGTGTCGCCAATTTTAGGCATTATATTATTATCAGATGGATTTTGTGGACATTATATTAATTTCAATCGTCGTATATTACTGAACTCATGGCTAAGAATTTCTCACATTGATTAGAGAAGAGACACGTCCACTAAGTTTATTAATCGCCAGATCTCGCTCCTTGATTAACCGAAAATTAAAAATGAAGTCACGTTTTAGTTTTTCAAACTGTGATGTTTGAAGATCGAGATTCTTTTGAAGTTGATCAGAATTGACTTTAAGTTCATTAATTTCATTGTGCAGTAGTTGTTTTACTTCAATATCCTTTGCTAAAACTAAGTTCAGATGTTACTGCAGTAGAATATAATTATATATACCTTCATCTAGTTTACTATTACCAAGACTTCCAAATGGAGCAAACATTGTGTATATAGTGACAAAATCACGTCAATAATTAACTAAGTAATATCAGGCATCATTAGACCCGTATTTCAATCTCTCCAACACTGCTGACCTTGGTAATGTTTACAATGCTTGATTTACCGCTTTACACACTTAGTTAACACCGAAGGATGTTCAAAACATTTACAATATCCAATATGTTCACCACGAGCTTGTATAAACTGATTGACTTTTTGCTCTCTCTTCTTTGTCTCATTACGGTTTATGGTATTTGACAATGTCCAGGGGGTGGTAGTCTAGTCCTCGACTGCAGTAATTCCAGTCAGTTATTTGTGAATTTGTATTTCTTGTAGTTTGAGCAAATGTGTTTGTCTAAGGGCAGTATGATTTCTGGATACCAGCAGCTATCACAAAACCAGGCAGGGGGTAGTTGATTTCAATGTGGAGATAATAAAGTGCCATGAGAAGGAGATTATTTTGTGAGTAAATAAATAAATAAATTAAATAATCGGTAGTTTTATCAGAATGGGTTTTTGTGGAGTTTTAGAAATTACACAGGTTGAAATCATGAGTCAGTTGAAGCTAGACCACCATTGAAAACCTGGAAGCACTGGATGGCCGTTTCGTCCTGGTATGGGACTCCTCAGCGGTGCGCATCCACGATCCCGCACCACGTGGGGCTCGAACCCAGGACCTACTGGCTTCGCGCGCGAGCACTTAACCATTAGACCACTGAGCCGGCATCCAACGGTGTTAATGTCTAGCTTCAACCAATCCACGAAGTTGCGCCACCATACACCATTTTCTTCAGTGAGTTGTTATCTCACAACAGACCGGTTGAACCCCAATGGTAACGGCTTCTCACTAGAACTCCAGGAGTTTTTCCTGAAGTCAGTCACTAGTGAGCAGTTGATTATTATCAGAATGGGTTTTTGTGGAGAGTTTTAGAAATTACACAGGTTGAAATCGGTAGTTTGTAAGAAGACGAAATGGAAAGAATAAGAGGGGAAACGGAGATAATATTAAGAGAGAAAGAAAGTAGTTACTGATTCGCGGTAATGATAACTGCGGAAATTTTTAAGACACTCGTCAGATGCACCTGGTCCAAGAGGGAGATTGTAACCCATGGGCAAGTAAGTGTTTGTCAAGTCTTCTCTTGAAGCCATCCACCGAAGAGGCTGTGGTCACTTCGGCCGGAACTGAATTTCAAATAGGAGCAACTTTTGGTGGGAAAAGTTGAAAGCGCACTTGACTTTTTGTTGTTTGGTGTGCAGTCTTTCTAGGATTACCTTGGGGAATGTGGTGGTGTTCTTAGAAGATGCTCATATCAGGGTGGCTTATCGTACTTAAAATGTTGTATGCCATTGTTGGACAACTTAACTGCCTGTCGTTCAACAAGAATAATCCCAGGTATTGGAGTCCGCTCTCGTAAGATTTATGATTCGGAACTCTAATCAACACAGTCGCTCGTATCTTTACTTGGTTTAAGATATTTATATTTCTTTTGAAGAGAGGAGACGGAACGACATAGTACGATTTACAGTGAGGCGATGCCTACGTTTCAAACACTGTCAATGACAACTCCGAGGTGGTTGCTCAGAATTGTCTTCGCACAAAGTGAGGAGTTGCGTTTGTCGTTATGACATCCTCCATCTAGTTTGAGCTGGTGTCTAAGCTCTCTGCGGTTACTTACCCGAGATCGTTCTCTGATCAGAAAGTTGAGAGCGGTTTTACGTGATGAAGTAAGGTATTTCTGCCGAATGAGATAGAATGTTTATGACACGATATTTTAACGTGTCACTTTTGAACCCATTGTCTATTGCTCACTTCTGTATTGTTATAAGGTCCTTTTGTAGCTCAAGTGCATCCATTTCGCCTCTTATGGACCTCCAGATCTATGCGTCGTCTTCATAGTTCACTCCTGCCAAGCTAATCTCATCTGAAAGGTTGCTGGCATAGATCAAGAACCGGAGTGTATTCAAAGTTTTTCCTGGTAAAACTCGTGATGCTGAGATCTTCAGAGCCAGGATAAAAGTGAGTTAGTTAAACTCATCTCTTCAACTTACACCATGAAAAGTATAAGAGGTACTGTGCCAAGGGCTTTACCAAAATCAAGGAATATAGCGTGAATCTATATGTTATGGTCACGGAAAGTCGTCCAGCTTTCCCATACTATCAGTAGACTGAACACACAGGACCTGTTTTTCCTGAACTCGTGTTGAGCTTTCTGGGAAATGTTGTTTTCATGCATATATTCCCTCATTTGTTCACCGACTAGTACTTCCAGTACTTTCGACGGTATTAGTCTGTAACAGAGTGGGTCTTTTCTACATCCCTCTTCGAATATTGTGAAGAGATTAGCCTGCTTCCATCCTCTTGGATGCTTGTATGAATTTATTGATTACCTGAATAGATCAGACAGTGTGCTGAAGGCTTTTTGGCACTGCTTCAGGATTATAGGTCAGATACTGACATATACTGGTGACCTTCTTGGACGCAATTATCTTAGTTTTCTTTACACTAACCCGGGAGTAATGTGGATTCGTAGTGGCATTGGACAATAGCCACACAATCCACAAAGCTGCGAACACGAGACTACTCAGGAAATAGATATTCAATATTTAACGCGGAGAAATACCTAACAATGGAGAAGGCGCGAACAATGAATTGAATGGACTGGAGTTGATCGAATGGCATGGCTCGGCCATGCAGGCGTGGTCCATCTGAACGTTACCTTATATCTTCTATTCATATTAAATATATTGTTCCTTCTGTAGCCTAACCTTGTTCTACATCATGTATTGGTAATTGATACGATACAGTGAGTTAGCGTAGTCGATGGTGTGACTTCCACGTAAGATCTCATAGATTAGGTAGTTATATCATGACAAATCTACAAATTTAGGATTAGGTCTATTATTAGAGCAGCACTAATATCATAGTAGACCATAATTCTACATTGGTGAGCCCAACTAAAGAAACGCAACCTATTATTGTTAATCCTTATTTCCACCTTAACCTTCTCAATCGGTTTTTATTTTTTTAAACCCATTATTCTAATAGTCCTTTGATTAATGGTCACATATATTATCGTAATGTTATATCTATTAGTTCACATAACTTACTAGCTCAATCGATAATAAAAGTTGATCATCTATATCAACTAATTAGCTTTGATGGTTCGTTAACAAGCTTTAATAGCATTTACATGCTTCAGCGACATAGACTTGTTTAAACATCAAGCTCTAGCAAATATGACCTGTAAATAGCGTAAATATACATTGACTAACAATGCAGCAAGGACTAAATAGTTACCTGGATCTAATATTCAGTGTTCCTTATCTTATCACCTCATCCTGTTTTAAACTATGCACTATCCTGTAATATCTTTTCTTCTGACCACTGCCTGCCTAATTTCATATTTTCGAGTTCCATTGCCAAACAACAAGGATGACACTTCTCTAAAAACATACGGTGAGTTTCAGCTATAGGTTTTCTGCAATCATAAGGTCATTTTAGATGGCTCGTTCAATGGTGACCGCACAATTATCTGGATTCATTCGTTGTTCTGATCCGAGCGAGTGGCAAAAACGTCAACAGCATCAAGCACCCTGGAATTAATTGCCATACTGCATGTTTTATTCTGGATACTTTTGGATCATTACTACTCCTCACGAATGGCGTTATATATGTCGTCCACTGAATAATCTAATTTTCAAAAATAACCCAGGCGAGTTCAACTATTTTACTTAATGATTTTTTTACTTAACATGTATATGTTTTCCGGTTCCTTTTGCTATATATTTGTAAGTGTCCCTAGGCTAAATGCAGTAACTTCTTATGGAATGTTTATAACGCATCATATTCCTGCCTGAAGTTTCACAAGCAGTCTTAACTTTAAAATTATTTTCTGGTCATGTTCATTATTTTTAAATCGTCATATACGTCAACAACCTGCATGTTAACCTGGCCCATACATACGTTACACTATATCTTCATGTCTTCTAAATTTAGAAATCATCTGAATCGCCTTTAACATTTATCAATAAACCCATCATAGTCGTTGTTGCTAATCGTATTTGGGTTTATGGATTGGTTTATCATATTAGCAGCCTAAAATGCGAACATAGTTTAGATAATAAGATTAAAAATTTAGGTACTATCAACTGCACTAGTAAAATAACTAAATCCCAGGTAGCTGTTGGCTAAACAAACGTTTAAAATCAAAACTCCGTAGCCTACTAGAATTAACACTAAACGAATATTTCTGAATTGAAATTTATAATTAAATTAGGCGTCTCGGATTCTTTAACGTTATAAATTTCTGATGATTTCGAATCACCTAAAGCAACAATACCTATTTTTCCACTGACTAATCCTCAATCAACACTATAACTAGTTAAACTAATAGTTTCAGGATATCGTCATAAAGCATTGTCATGACTTGACAATCACGTAATATGATTGATAAAATTAATGAAACTATTAACAAAATCGGTCAACAAATTGACTTATAATTACCATCAAGTGGTGTTGTTTTCTTTATCTTCATCCATCACAGATGATTACAGTATGTTTCTCTATCAGTTGCTCATTCAGTAAATATCTCAAAACCTTGTCAGTCTAATTGATGGTTTAGCGACACAATCATGCATGCAAATAATCAGTATAAGCAGTCGAGCAAATCTCCTGCAAACTGAAAACATCAATGTCGAATTTACCCCAACACTGACTAAGGTTCAAGCCATTATCATAGACATGAGTTGGGAGTGTACTCCCCTGGTTACAACTTATGTTCTCCCTGATAATCACATGAGCATCACTCACTATTAATCATCTTGTAAAAACTTATTTAGCCAAATACATCTTGCAGCACCACATCACTTCGTAATATGACACAGGCTTAACTGATTTCAATAACTTATAACCACTATATCTCAATTAAATCGTATTCCGCCTTATGATAAACTGCATACTTGCAACTAACTTGTATGCCCAATCAGCCGGCAAGTATAAATATAAATAAATAGTCTGCCACAGATCAGAACATTGAGTCTAGAGCATGTCTCTTACGAATACACTCATGTTTAACGATTTGTTCCTAGCTATCTGTCCAAAATTCATATAATTATCACTCATGTATTTAAAT